TTTTAGTAAATTTGATAGAATAAAACTTTCTCTTATTAGAACAGACGATTGCAAACATTTCCGTATCTCGAAAATCTGAGAGACGAGCTTTCACAAAAATATGAAAATTGACATAGTCCAATAAGCCAAAATCAGTACACAAAAATCATCATAGACTTGGACGGATCAAAATTTTTTGCAAACGGTAGAAAATATATTCTAAAGAAATTAGCGATGAAAGAGCTATTCGAAAATCGCCGTAATGTATCTGGCAGACTTAATTTTTTTCTGCATAATTACGAAAACATGTTATACTTAATGTTGAGATAATTACCATAAGATTAGAAATATAACTTTTTCTGTATACTTGCTTTCAAAAGGGAGATAATAACTAGGGTTTAGTTAAAAATTAAAATTAAAATCATTCGTGAGTTGTCGAACATATAAATATTTCTTAATCTAATTTGGGTAATCAGATTTAAGATGGAGTTGTTTATTGTTTCTTAGTGAAATGTAAATATACGACAGCATTTCTAAGACATAAAGACATACAAATTCTAGTTCAGTTCTGTATTTGTTAAAATAACTAGAAATTCAATTTACTTAAATAATATACTGTAGACTTTCTCTTTAAGTTCAACCGTATATGACTTGAAAAATTGCCCAAATCTGAAATCTGGTTATATGTATCATGCCAGCGATTTTAATATGTGCAGTTTTATTATTAAGTAATTAGTAAAACAAACAAGATAATCTATGTTCTGCATAATGCAATTTTCACATTTATATCATTTTATCTGTAGCATATGCTTTCACTGGTAAGAACGCATATCCATCTTCATACGAATTATTGATTTCTTCTCTGCAGTTCGCTCGGTAGCCATAGAAACAGTCCATTTTTTCTGCATATATTTACACATGGCTATGCAATTCAAGTCATCTTTATATAGATTGAAATGGGAAATTCGTTTTATATATACAAAATAAAATCATATTTCTAGATTGTATGTATAATATTTTCATATATATATATATATATATATATATATATATATATATATATATATATATATATATATATATATATATATATATATAGCCTTTTGTCACTCGACTTTGTAAGCGAGACTGTCTTGTATTGCTATCATTAAATTTCGCTTTTATGTGCAATCTGAAATAAAAAATTAATGTATTCTCGAATTAGTTATAATATATCGTATTTGAAACGAAAATATAATGCAAAATTGCGTGTTTTTATAATCAGAAAATCTAATGCTGCTTTTGTTAAGTATATATTAACTAATTCAATATATTTATGTAATGTGTCCATATAACTCAATTGGTAGCGTGTTGAAACTCTGATACTGGGGCCGATGGTTCGTATCCCGTGAGAGAAATATGTCTGGGGCGGCGATTTTAATCCAAGAAATATTATCTATTTAGTGGGGAGGTCCAAAGAAGCCATCAAAATTCAGCAAACAAAACATACTTCCCACTATGTAAACACTTAGTGTTTGCAACTTTAGCACTCCTAGGTGTTGCCATATTACGGAGTATGGTGCGTTTGTTGAACGTCGATTAAGATCTTCCCCGCTTCGTTAGGATAAGTTAGGATAAGTTGGTGTTGTCTTTTGTATATGTTATGTGTTGTGCCGTCTTGTTCCGTCCCTAATTAAATTTATATGTGACCTCTGAACTTGCGCGGATGTCAAAAGGCATCCTCGGAGTTCACAAAGGTCAAAATATGCCGTCTGCATAAATCAACATCACATGACCATCTGTAAATATAATTATTGTTCATCAATTAGTTTAAATGTGACCTCTGAACTTACTTGACTGTCATAAGGCAACTGGGGGTGTCACAAAGGTCAAAATGTGCCGTCCGCAAAAATCAACATCACATATAAATATATAACCATTGCTCCTCAATCAGTTTTTGTGTGACCAAGGGTCCTTCTAAGATGTTGTTTGACACCTTAATGGATCACATGGGGATTAATTCGAATGCTCCTGAACTTGCTAACATGTTATATGGCAAGATAGAAGTTCCGTTGGAATTGTATATATGTATATGTTTTGTAAAAATATTTTTTTTATAATTCTATAGCTTATCAAATAATATATCGACCATGTTATCGATAAATGTCATCACATGGTCTCCCCAAACCACTATTCTCATATCATTTTCAGTCGTGAATAACCATACTGACCCATATTTCGGCGATATATGATAATACATTTTTTATTTCAATCGCTTATTATATTAGATTTTATACAAGTAGATGATGACGCTGCTTTGATTGAATTAAATCTTTTACAAAATCTATTTGTTAGATCAAATCCAACATGTCGTACTGAGAATAATATTATATATAATATTATATTTTTTAATATAACAATATTCTTTAGCGAATGGGTAGATATTCGTAGAGTTGATATTTCCCTTCTCAGATACACCTCAGCCCCAAAACGTATTTTTGTCAGAAAATATGTTAATCATTTTAAGCTAACAAAGGCTGCTGACAAAAATGTTAACATACAAGGTTTTGGGGGCCGGATGTGGGTCTCTGAGAAAGGAGCATCCACTCTCTATACGGCCTCATAATCCGTCTACTAATTTTCGTAATAAGTTCTGGACTATATCGGGTCTCATAATCCGTCTACTAAATTACATAATAAGTTCTAGACTATATCGAGTCTCATAATCCGTCTACTAATTTAGGTAATAAGTTCTGGACTATATCGGGTCTTATAATCCGTCTACTAATTTATATAATAAGTTCTGAACTATATTGGGTCTCATATTCCGTCTTCTAATTTACGTAATAAGTTCTGGACTATATCGGGTCTCATAATCCGTCTACTTATTTACGTAATAAGTTTTGGACTATATCGGGTCTCCTAATTCGTAATCTAATTTACCAAATAAGTTCTGGACTATATCGGGTTTCCTAATCCGTCTACTAATTTACGTAATAAGCTCTGGACTATATGGGGTCTCCTAATCCGTCTACTAATTTACGTATTAAGTTCTGAAAAATACCGGGGCTCATAATCCGTATACCAATTTACACAATAATTTTGTCTTATATCGGGTATCTTAATCCGTCTACTAATATACGTAATAAGTTCTGAACTATATCGGGTCTCCTAATACGTCTTCTAATTTACGTAATAAGTTCTGGACTACATCGGGTTTCCTAATCCGTCTACTAATTTACGTAATAAGCTCTTTTCTATATCGGGTCTCCTAATCCGTCTACTAATTTACACAATAAGTTCTGGACTATATCGGATCTCCTAATCCGTCTACTAATTTACGTATTAAGTTCTGAACACTATCGGGTCTCCTAATCCGTGTACTAATTTACGTAATAAGCTCTGGACTATATCGGGTGTCATAATTCGTTAGTATGCTGAAGCACCTCAAGCCTACCAAACATGTCAATAAGTGCCTCCTCGGCCACTCGTTCAGTTTCAGTTGATGGTATAGGAAAGAGATATCGGATATTGCACTGTTGTGCCATACGGTTTCAGTTCATCGTATGGCTAGGATATATTGCATTTTGTGATTTGTAATGGCAGTATTTGGCCCCTCAGTATCGATGTCAACCGTTTTAAATGTAACATTTGTAAAAGGCATTCGGCCTAATAGTACAATGGTGTTCCTTTACTCGTCGCCGTCTTCTGGGTAACGTAGCACGATCGACAGAATGGTGTTACGTATTCATGTATTGTCATGTATTCACACACGGCAAATAAAATTCGGCTATCGATTATTTTCTCCTGAACAACTTCATACCGATATGTACTTTCTACCAGTCGACCACATCGGACATCTTGGGCGTTTCACCAAAAGACTCTGTGAATATCACACTATTGTGTCATACATGCATATTGCTATACAGTGCATATGGCGAGGCCCTCATGGATATTACATTATTGTGTCATATAGACAGATTGTTATACAATGCATGTGAACAAATCTCTTGGATATTACACTGCTGTGTCACAGACAGATTGTTATACATTACATGTAAATAAGCCCCTCATGGATATTACACTGTTGTGATCGCCATAGGTTAAACAATTGTTTGTTACTCTTTCCACACAATCCCCCTGCTAACTCTGGAGTACAAAATATCGGACCAATACGACCATCATGTGTGCCGGATGATGCAACTAATACATGCAAACATTTAACTCTATCTGTACATACATATAACTACATTGAAAATGAACGAAGATATTCCATTAACTCTATTTGTACATACGCTTAATTCCAATAAAGACAAATGCTCGTGGTATTATATATGGAATTATGATCAACATTATTCATTACTTTAGGGTCTTACGTTTAAAAGATCCATTGAGAAGTGTTATATAAATTCATTAGAAAGTGGTACTAAACATATAATGGATACACTGTTAGTACTAAAGCAAATTGGTATTTTGATGAAGAAATACAACTGTTGAAATCTAAATGAAAACAATAATTTATAGTTCATCTAACTCTCTCCTACTTGTATATACATATACTTACTTATCTATACCCATCCACCTACCGATGCACCTACTTACCTACATACTGAATAAATTCATGGACTATTAATTTGTTGTTTTATTTTCACCCTTATTCATCTTCATTTCATAAATCAATCAACCTACATTTGCTTGAACAAACCCCATGAAGCTGGTATACAAATTGCAAGTGAAGTCATTTTATAATCAACCATCATTTTCTAATCCCCATGAAGATGGTATACAAATTGCGAGTGACATCATTGTTTAATCAGCCGTCATTTGCTAATTCCCATGAAGATGGTATACAAATTGCGAGTGAAGTCAGTTTTTAATCAACCATCTTTTGCTAATAACCATGAAGATGATATACAAATTGCGAGTGACGTCATTATTTAATCAACCATCATTTGCTAATCCCCATGAAGATGGTGTACAAATTGCGAGTGAAGTCATTTGTTTTATCAACCATCATTTGCTAATCCCAACGAGTGGAGCCAGACTGTAACGGTGGCCAAATGGCAAGGGCGTCAGTCTAGGATGCGGGAAGTCGTGGGTTCGATCCCCGGCTGAGTCATGCCAAGAATTTTAACATGGTACTAACGGCTGCCTAGTCTTATGACTTGTAGGCCTGGTGTCAGGATAATATGACTGGGTGGGACATTATTCTACAAGTCTGCAGCAAGATGCCCCAGTGCTAGACATCGCTATAAACATCTACTCTGCAGACACGGTAGCGATATGACTTAAAAATTGTTAAAGCTACGTTAAAAATCTAAATCACACACACGGGCAAGTCGCGTCCCTTTAATCAACCTTTCTTTGCAAGAACAATTTTTATGAAGATGGTGTACGTATTGCCAGTGAAGTCATTTTAATCAACATCCATTTTGCTTGAACAAACCAAACGAAGAAGATGTACATTTTGCAATTGAAGTCATCTCAAAATTCAGGGTAGTACTAGTAACAAGAAAAGTCACCCAGGTAGGGTGACCTGTTCATGACAAAGCTCGTAACTATATGATTCAAATCGTTCTCTGCAGCGATTGGTGAGTTTATTTATAGTAAAGGCACTCACGCAGGTACACAGACTAACTACTTGAGTACGTCAGATGTTTCCGTGAAATGCATTTTTAAAGGATTTAAGCTACAAATTTTGTAAGTACCAATCTACTATACATTATTGCGTAAGTTTTTTCGGCATTTCACAAGAATCTTATACATTCCTGTTAACTTGTTTTTGTGTTTTGGTCTTTTGTGGGGTTTAACGCCATTTTGGTTCACGATATACTTTAAATGGCGGCCAATACATTGGGGGAGGATGAATCCGGTAATACTATTGGAAGATTTAGCGACCCACTGGAAACAACTGGTAACCATTTCCAAATACAAAAGTTGGTCATGCTGAGACTCGAACTCAAGCGGAGAGGGACGATATATGTGAGATATGTATAAATCATTGACATGGAACACTCGGCCGTCACACAACTCCACAACTCCTGTAGAGTCAACGTTATGAATGTCAACCGATCCGTAGACTGGGTCTTTATCTTTCATCTGGTTGACGGTGATTTTATGTTAATGTATTTGCCGTATTAATTTCCTAATTATCATTCTAAAGATATTAGTTGATGGTTTATCTGTAATTAATTCAAAAGTCATATGCAGATTCATGGCTTGACTTTTGTTTCAATATTATGGCACACCTAACAAATATTACATTGCCATTTAAATGAACTTGTAAAGGAGACATCAAATAAGGCTGATTGCGTTATGAAGACCCACATATTGAAGTGTCGTTATATTTTCCTTTGAAAAATTGGCTGAACTTAAACCGGGTACTGACTTTGTAATAATATGCACCATTTAATGATCTCAGGAAACAAAAACTGAAAACTTTCGACCTGTCTTTCTTATACTGTACTTTAAAGAATACGTTTTGACTTTAATTTACAATGCGATATTAAAAAAGAAGTTTATCACACCAAGCTCTATTCCTACTAATACAGTATTTACTTTTCATCTGAAACAACCACCAGCCTCTGTCCGTACAATTGTATTCGTTTGTCATCTCACACAACGTCAGGCTCTGTTCATAATGTTGTATTCAATTGAGCAGCAGGAAGGGAGAACCCTACAAATTTTTGCGACGAAATCGATTAAAGCCTCAGAATGCCCAATAGAGCCTTCCTACGAAATCTCATATTTTAACCAAAAAAAAGACCCCATTTTAAAAATGGAGCGTTAGCGATTTTGTCGTAAATATGTTGTCATAACCACCCTCAAATTGCTGCCAATAATAGCTATCATTGTTGTCATAACCCTCCCTGCTGCTGGAAGGATTTCAGGGTTAATACAAATGATTTAACCGAATATTTGATCAAGTCCAATACGATATCGTGATCGAGGGTCGTGTAAATTTATTGTTATAAATCCATGTGGGACTGACTGAGCATTACTAAAGTAATTTTTGAATCCATTGAAGTCCATATCGGAACACCATGTCTGCCAAATATTTCGTAGCGTATGTGTATCAACGCCGTTGAATACAGCAAGAATATTACAGTTATCGCGAATCACTTTTGGAATCTGAGTGTAGCGTTGAGTGACATATATCACGTCAGTGTTTTTATGCCTACCTCGTGAAAATATTCTAGCAGGGTTCTTTTGATTATCTAACATCACATCATCGTACACTACAAGATTGTTTATGTCTCCATCGAGGTCATCTACGCTAGGCGCATCATCAATATCTGTTATAAAGTCGATTACACTTTCACCTTTAATTTCTGATGCATTCTCATTATAATCTTTTAGCACTTCATAGCACCGTTGATCATCTACGGATGGAGCAACTAAATATAATTTATCCCACTTCATAAATCGCATTATCAAGTTAAGCAGCAATTGTGTTTTACCCAATCCAGATGGTCCGATTATAATGGCACGGACAGAATTCGGAAGCGCTGCGTGGTGCTTCACCGGTTCTCTTCTTTTAGTCGCTGAAAAATCAATTATATTCATAACGCTATATATAAATTATGGATCTATATTGTGTTAAATGTAAACAGCGTACTAGTACAAATGATGCGACGACGATTACAACTAAAAATAACAGATCGGCACTTACTGGTAAGTGTGTAACATGTGATACAAAAAAAATTTTGATTTATTTCTTTAAAAAAAGCGACACGGAGGTGATATCGCAGCCAAATTGGGAAAACTCCCCGGAACCCCATGGGCAAAATACCCTGGAGAAAAACACCTTCCAGGATATAGCTACTGTGGACCCGGAACGAGATTAGATCTCAGACTTGATGATCAAAATCAGCCCCGGCCTGGTGAGTATCCGATAAATGCTATTGATAAGGCATGTCATGCTCATGATGTTGCATATAAAAGCAATAATTTGCAACAAAGACATCTCGCGGATGTAAAATTAATTCATGCGTTTAATGCTATTCCCGATAAATCCTTCAAAGAAAAATTGGCTTCATGGTTGGTCATATCAGCTATGAAAGGCAAATTGATGTTAGGTGCTGGTAATTGAAAACACTAGTGTTTTTATAGTATGGAATCTATTTATTATTCTCTGAAAGGATACTGGAAGGGTAAAGCAGCAATCAGTAAACTCGCTAACGCTGCAAAAGTAAAAAAGTCCACTGCGGAAGATTGGTTATCCAAACAAGCTATATGGCAAATTTATCTACCACCGCCTAAACAAATTAATTATTCTCATTTTGATGTTACCGTACCCAATGAAGTTTATCATGCTGATTTATTGTTTTTACCACATGACCATAGTTACAAATACGCGCTAACTGTAGTTGATATTGTGAGTCGATTTAAACAAGCAGAACCATTGAAAACAAAGTCAGCTTCTGAAGTCGCTTCTGCATTTGAAAGGATTTATCGACGAGGTCCTTTAAGATGGCCAAATCTATTACAAGTTGATCCTGGCAAAGAGTTTCAAGGTGCTGTTCTATCAACAATGAAAACTCATAATGTTACAATACGACGGGGACATACTGCGTTACATCGTGATCAGGCAATTGTAGAACAATTTAATCGAACTCTTGCAGAACGGTTATTTGGATATCAATATGCAAAAGAATTCATTTAAGAAAAACGATCTCGTGAATGGGTCCAAAGGTTACCGAGTGTAGTTGCAGCGTTAAATAACGAGATTACTCGAACTATTAATATGAAACCAAATATTACAATAAAAAATATATACCCGAACAACCACAGCGGGTTACCAATCAGCCACTTCTCGGTGATGTTACTGTGAGATATTTGTACGAACCAGGAGTACTTGAAGGTGGTAAAAGAAGAGCTACTGATCCTATATGGAGTGTTACTACGCATAAAATTTCAACCATAACGCGATCAACTGGTAGACCTCCAATCTACAGATTGGATTCAAATGCACCTCAGCGTGGCTTTACACAAGTTATTCCAGACGATACTCAATTACCGCCACATGGTCTTAACTAGCTCCGTTACGTCTATTACACTCAAGACAGGTCAACATCACATTGTTTCTGACATGACCAAGACTGTTATTTCTTCTGTCTACGGTGAATTGTCAAGGGTCTTTATCCGAATACTGCCAGTGCATTATACAATTGCAACTGACGCAGTGATTATTCTGTTGTTCTTTAAATGCGATTATTACTTCAGCATCAATATCAAATTCTCGTTGTTTTTTTTGTCCTGCTGTTTGTAACCAGAGAGTTTTTTTTTATTAATGATGCTAATATCAGTGCTATCATCGTTGCATTAAAATCATCATCGAAAACAATCCTTTGTAGTTGATTTATTCGTTCGTACTCTAGACATTGCGAGATAGACTAAATTTGACCATTCAATGCGATTATCAACTATCCAAACAATTGTATCCGTGATGGTCAATCCTTGTGACGAGTGTATTGTTGTTACATAACCAAGCATCCATGGTGATTTATAAGCGCATAATGCATCTTCTACAGCATTGATATCAACTAGCACAATATCATTTAACACTAGAATCTGTTTCTCCGTCTGGCCTGGAATTTCAGCTTCAATATTCTGCTTTCTTGTATCCGATGGTCTATAACACAATGGTACTGGAAACGTTGGGAATTTTTTCTTGTGTAGCTCAAACAACTTTTTCTGAAGTGCGTCTCTGAATATCTTTCTACTTGCTACTACAAAATCATTCGGTCTCCATGTTTCCCAAAAATCATTCATAGGTGTTTCAGAAATTATTTCACGCGCTACTTCACATTGAATTCTATCGGGTTGTAATCTAATTAGTTTTTTAAACTCACGTAACTGCTCATCGAGTGCTCTATAGTCAGTATCAATTTCTTCGTAATAATCAACAAATCCTTTTAACCAATTATGTGGACTTCTACCAACAAATGGTGGTGGTTGACCATGATCGCCGCACAATATAACTTTTGTATTATTTTGCAATAACCAATCAAGAAACATTTTTAATACATCTTCTGAAACAGTACATGCTTCATCCCAAATAATAACCGCAGGAATAAATCTCTCACCCATTCGCTCAGGTGTCCAAGCATCGCCCTT